CGGGGAGCGTGGGATCAACGACACGAAGCGGGTGGTGGCCGTGTCTCGGGGCGCGTGATCAACCACACGAAGCGGGTGGTGGCCGTGTCTCGGGGCGCGTGATCAACGACATGAAGCGGGTGGTGGCCGTGTCTCGGGGCGTGAAGCGGGTGGTGGCCGTGTCTCGGGGCGTGAAGCGGGTGGTGGCCGTGTCTCGGGGCGTGAAGCGGGCGGTGGTCGTGTCTCAGGGCGTGGGATCAGCGACACGAAGCGGGTGGTGGCCGTGTCTCGGGGGCGTGTGATTAGCGAGCTTGTTGTCGATTGCAGAAGCTGCACACTAGTGACAACGCGATCAAGGAATCCTCCCTCTGCGTCGCTCACCTCCCCTGTGAACCTCCGCTCTACCGTGTGGGGCATAACCATGCGTCGCGTGAGATTAAGGTCAGCTTGTTTGTGTCGATTTCGCTAGGGTGGAAGGGTTAAGCGTTAGTTGTCGAGTGATGGACGCTGAGTGCATTTCTAAGAACCGACACGAAGCGGGTGGTGGCCGTGTCTCGCGGCGCGTGGTCAACGAGCTTGTTGTCGATTGCAGAAGCTGCACACTAGTGACAACCCGATCAAGTGCAAGCGCTGCGGCAAGGACTTTCCCGACCGCTACGCCTACAAGATCCACGCGAAGACGCACGACGGCGAGAAGTGCTTCAAGTGCGACCTCTGCCCGTACGCGTCGCTCACGCAGCGCCACCTTGAGTCGCACATGCTCATTCATACGGACCAGAAGCCCTTCCAGTGTGAGCAGTGTGTCCAGGTAGGCTGTCAATCAACGGTGCGCGCGTTCGTTCTCTCGCGGCGCGTTCTGTTTGGTATATATGCAGGGGACTGTCTGCCTACTCACTCGGTGGACTTGTCGCTCGTACGTGGCCTTGCGTTTAATCTTGCTCGTCGCGTTTGCCTCGTGGGACGCATCTGCGATAGCCATAGACTTCCTTTCCGCCTTTCTGAGGCATCTTCTTCACTCGCCCTCTTCCGGCCCTTCTCGCTTGTCCCCGCTCTCCCCGTCACCCCTCTCTCTCTCTCTCTCCCCATCTCTTCCGTAGGTCTCCGCTCGCCCGCTAACCACCGCTCGCTCTCCGCTCACGCAGACATTCCGGCAGAAGCAGCTGCTGAAGCGGCACCAGAACCTGTACCACAACCCGGACTATGTGCCGCCGATCCCGCGCGAGAAGACGCACGAGTGCCCCGAGTGTCACAAGCTGTTCCGCCACAAGGGCAACCTGATACGCCACCTGGCGCTTCACGACCCGGAGGCCACTACCGACCAGCAGATCGCCGCCGAGGACCTGGAGGGGGAGGACTCGATGGATGAGGTATGTATGTGGGTGCGGCATGGGAAAAAATACTTTGTTTTCGCGGGAGCTCTTTTGAAAAAGTCTGTGGAAAAAATAGCTCTCGTCAAAAATTTTACGGGAGCTATTTTTAGCCTCACGGGAGTGATTTCGGAGGTTTGAAGAGGGAATTGCTCATCGCTTTCGTGTATTTTTTACCCTGGTGCGTGCGTTGAAGATGGATGGTGGGCGGGGGCGTAGGGCGGTGGGTGGTGGGGGGAGTGACTGGGTGGCAGGGGGTAGAGTGGTGGGTTGCGGGCAGGCGGGATAGAGTGGTAGGTGGGCGGGGGTAGAGTGGTGGGTCGCAACAGCAGTAGAGTGGTGACTGGGTGGGTGATTTTAGAGTGGTGAGTGGCAGGTGGGCGTGGGTAGATTGGTGGGTGGGTGGGCAGGGGTAGAGTGGTGGGTGTGTGGCAGGGGGCAGATTGGTGGGTGGGTGGCAGGGGGTAGTGTGGTGGGTGCTCAGGGGTATGTATAGTGGTGGGTAGTGGGTGGTTGTGGGTGGGTGGGTGTAGAGTGGTGGGTGGGTGGCACATGGGCAGGGTTAGCTTGGTGAGTGAGTGGGTGTGCAGGGGTAGAGTGGTGGATAGCGGGCAGTTGAGATAGAGTAGTGGGTAGGTGAGAATAGGTGAGAAGAACTTAGTCATTGAGGTAAGAGGCGAGGAGGGCCTGATGTATGTGCCAGTCACAATAAGACCTGTCATTCACCTTTCTAGGATCACATGGTGCAGCTGGTGGAGTCTGAGCACATTGAGCCTGACAGTTCTGATGAGGATGGAGAGGAGGGAGAAGCCAGACCAGACCTTCCCCACACTGGGGTGGATGCTCCTCCCAGGTAATTGTTCAATAGTTCTGTCTCTGACTCTTAAAGCAGGTGTCGTTGCACATGTACTCACAGGAAAACTCAACAACACTTTCTGCTTTTGCAGTGGCGATATATTACTCTCGGTACCGTGCACGACTCGACTCAGAGTAGCTCTGCTCCCTGGTCAACAACAACGCCGCTTTTTCTATCGTGATCAGTTCCCCGTACATGACCAGAAACACCTCATATACACATGTCAGCACAGTCTCACAACACATGTGCGAACAAGCAAAAACAACCAGCCCACAACACGGCCCGCGCACACAGCCACGTACCATACTGAACAGTAATCATCAACGATTCATCACAACAGTGCGGCCAGTAAGCAAAAGCTGAGGCTACCGTCTCTGTGAACAGAGGCTTATGATTAAGGGAGGATGAATTCGCGCTCCAATTTGTTTTCTACTAAGTGGGTTATCGAGAATTCTCAGTGAAGTCTCATGAATTATCTTGTAGCGGTCGCTAGTGGGTAGAATTTTATTTCAGCCTGAAGGGCCAAATTAGCTTTAGCTTTTTAGCGAATTTATGATTATGATGAAATTTTTTCGCCAAATTCAACTTTAATTTGTATTTGGCGAATTAGCGAACAGCAGCTTAAACCCATGGGGCCGTTGTCAGAAACATCGTAAAGTTAATGCTAATGTTAATGCTGAGATAGCACTTACGACTGATGTTAGTTTTACGAGAATAAACCCTGGTCGTTAAAACGGCATGTTCTCGCAGCAAAATAATTTATGCGTATCTATACGCCGTACAACAATGTCGGACGTTGTTTCAAAATCCTCTAGTTCGGAGCACGTTTCTAGCTCGATAAGAACATTTCGTGATATTTGCATACTGCAAGTATGCTCACAGTAGGTGTATGTAGGCTTTTCGAGGTCTATCCACTTTAACGTCGCATGTGTTTCAGGGTATTAGCTATGAATGAGTATTGTGGGAGTGGAGAAAAAATATTTGGGAGTGCAATTTTTGTGTCTCAGCCAAGACCGCCATAGGCGTTAACGGGGGTGGGGGGGTAGTATGAGAGGGGCCCCCTAATTTTAACATTTTTTTTGGCCGTGCAGTTTCAAAACTAACCGTGCAAATCACGGCTGCATGGCTCGCTGGCTAATACGTCGCATGTGTTTGCGTTCTGTCTCGTCAGCATGCCGCGCGACATGGCCGTGTCCGTGCAGCCGGTGGTGACGCCCATCAGGGGGCAGCGGCGAGGGCGGCCGCGCAAGATCAAGATCGAGGTGAACGACGACGAACCGTTCGACGACGGGGACGAGGAATATACGCCGACCAAGCGCAAGCGCAAGGTACGTGCTGCCACCTCGTGGCCGTCGCCGGCAGGGGCGAGCATTGTCGCCGGTCGGTTCGCGCAAAATTTTTATTTCGTTCTTGTTTGTTTTTGTTTTTTTCTCTGTTCTGTTTACCGTTCTGCGTCGTTGTACTTCGTGTATTAGGAAGCCTTCTTTTGGTTCTTGTATTAGTTACCTTTTTTTATCAGTTACCCTTCTCTAGTCAATTAACCTATTCTATGAGTTACCCTTCTCTGTCAATTAACTTGCTCTATGAGTTACTCTTCTCTGTCAATTAACTTGCTCTATCAGTTACCCTTCTCTAGTCAATTAACCTATTCTATGAGTTACCCTTCTCTGTCAATTAACTTGCTCTATGAGTTACCCTTCTCTGTCAATTAACTTGCTCTATGAGTTACCCTTCTCTGTCAATTAACTTGCTCTATGAGTTACTAAGAGAGGTCTAGGATATATATATATATATATAGTGATGTCACGATCATCGATTATACTCGATCATCGGTTGAACAGTGGCTCGAACCAAGCGCTTGGTTATCAAAATCCATAATCGATTTCATCAACAAAAAACCTTGGAAAAGTGATGACAATCAGTACATGTATTATACACACAGTAGTAAACAGTGCAAAACAAACAGTAAACAGGGCTAAACAAGCAGTGCTCGAAATAAGAAAAAAAATGTGGTTGTCCTGCAGACAACCCAGGCATCAAATCGGGTTGTCC